GTTTGGTTGCTTTAAATTGTCTTTCTTAAATGGCTTTGTTGCGTCGAATGATTGAAGAATGAGAATAAACTGAACATTTTGTTTAAAAATCGATGAAACTTAGTGGGATTGAACTCCTCTAGAGATAAGTCTGAGTTCGAAATTACTCTTTGGAAATATTACTCAATGGAAACATTACTCAATTCGATAAATATTACACTGAGTAGAAATAAAATAATCACTATTTATTATCAAATTTAATATTAGAATTACTTTTACGTATTGCTAACGACAGTATCAAAAGTAAGAAAAAGAAAATTAATTGTCCTTTATTTGCAGTTTATGACTGATTAATGTTACTGTTAATTCTAGATGACATTTATATTACTTATACTTTTAAAAATTCAAAATTAAAATTTTATTATTAGTATAAGTGCTAAACTGCAAAAAACTTTAAATAAATTAATAATAAATACGATATTATGTGTAATATTACACTATGTTCATATAGAGATTTTTCCTAATTTAAAAAATATTAAATTAAGTTGTTTTGAATTCTGTAGAAATTTTGTCGTTTACTCTAAAAAAAATAGTTTATGACGCAATATTATGTAAAAGTAGTCGAATTTGTTTAATTTTGTTTAAGAATCTTTCCACTTTCGCAATTAAATTTTCTTTATACATATGTTGAGAATAATCAATTTGATTACATTTCTTTAATATACCTTTTTTCTATTTTCTTCTAAAAGTCTTTCAAAATTCTTGTCTTTAATATACAAGTACTTACTAGAGAAACAATAATTTTAGATATTTTAAAATGAATCTATAAAATTATAAAATTTATAATTTTTTTTTATTTTTATAAATTTTTAGAAAATGTTATAACGATTAAATTACAAAATTCACAATAAATTCAAGAATTTACAATAAATTTTTAATTATTTCTTATACGTTTATTTAAATATCGTCTTTTAAATTAAAGAATAATTTTATTTTAAAATTCAATAATGCATCTACACAATAGTTCATATTAATTACGGTTCTATAAATCAAAAGAGTCATCAGAGCAAAACTAATTAATTAAATTATAAAGCTAAAAAATATAATAATTGAATTTATATATTTAGAATTTGAAGATATTAACTAAAATTTAAATACGAATTTTAAAATAGTTAACTTAAGAAACGGAGTTAGAATTTAGAAGAAAATTAATTTCTTCTAAATTCTAACTCCGTTTCTTCGCTTAGAATAATGGGAATTGTTTGCTTAATACATTAGCATAAATTAAATTTAATGTAATTTTATTCTATATATTGCTTACATAATTGTTTTCAAAATATTCATTTCATAATAAACACAATCTCATTTTCATATAAAGTGAAATAATTATGCAAAATAATTGTAATTAAAACCTCAGCAACTACATGAAGTTAAGATTTCAATGTAAGGAAATGTAAGATGATTACAATCTTTAGGTTTACTGAAATGATTAAAATTTCATACAACTAAAATTTATCTGAACAAGTTAATTAATATAGCAATAATTATAGACAGTATTATCTTTATTAATATTATTTTCAACATGTGATGAGAAAAGATAAACTTGCACAAACTTAATAGAATAATGTAAGGAATGGTTAGTTTGTAGTTTTGTAATAATGAAAGTTAAAGAAAATATATCATCAACTTAATAAATATATTGAGTAACGTTAGATGAAAAGTGACATTAAGTTTATGGAAAATCATTTCGAATAATAATCTGAATTAATTTAATGAATAATATGTATCATAAGTATGATAAAATTGAATTTATATTTATCTTATATACATTTTCCATTTTTGATTATTATAATTACAATACACTGAAAACATGAGATATAGTTTGCATTTTTATAGCTGTAACTTAGGGTGCGTTTACTTCTGAGCTAATAGTGCTACTTCCGAACACCGGAAGTGACGTCATTAGCATGTGTATTCGTGCTTACATGTCCAGTTCGAAAGTAAACGCGAACGCTAACAAGAAATATGGCGGTTTCCTGCAAATAGTATTGTCAAAGCTGCTGTTTTAAATGTTACGTTACAGATATAACTACTTGATTCCGAATCGGACGAGTATGATTTTATTGTGGATATAATTGTAGAAAAATGAAAACAGAAAAAAGAAAAGTAAGGTAAAATAAAAAAGATAGAAACTTTTATTGAAGAGACTCTACCTTTTTATAAGCCAACCGATTTTAAACAACCTTAGACTTACAAGAGAATGTTTTGAAATTCTCCTCTAAAAAATAAGCCCAATTATAGACACCGAAAAATTACTTCCTCTGGAAGACGACCCGTGTCTCCTCAAAAGCAGCTTTTATGCTGTCTATGGACATTGGCAAATCAAGAATCATTCGGGTTTGTTTATACGAAGTAATATATGAAATTAGATTATGTTTATAAGAGAATAGTAGATTATACATACATATAATACATATTTAAAGCAATTGTTTTACCCAGTGAATGGGTGTGACGTTGTTTTGTTGTGGTGTAACTAAACTGAGTTCAAAATTAACAAATAATTGGTATTAAATACAAAACACTTTTTTCTTTCTTTCTTTCCTCTAAGGGTACTGTCGATCGTTTTAATATGTTTAGACGGACTGCGTGGAATATTTTAAATAAAGTTGTTAATTCTTTCTTACAAGTTAGTGTTAAGTGAAAATTAAAAATGAACTCTTGGCCAGCACACAGCAAGATGATGTAAGAATAATGGAACTTTTTATACCCAATCTGGTTTTCCTGGAATTAGAGGCTCTATTGATGAAAAGCGTATGGCTATTAAGACATCAACTGAAGAAGCAGTAGCCTATTTCAATAGAAACAAGTATTACTCTGTCATCATATAAGTTTAGTTTGTAATGAAAAAATGGTATTCAAATGATACAATTTTTCGAGAAGTCATTTCCCATATGTAAGTGAAAATTCATTCAAGTATACAAACTTATGTAATTTTGGATTACTGTATTATTAATGCTGCTCATTTCTTTACGATTTACTTAATGCTCTGAACATAACATTTCTGAAGATTCCAAATGCGTATTAGTTAAACCTCACTTTTAATCATAAACAATGAATCGAACTTTTATTTTCACATTAATTAACTCTGTTTATGAAAAAAGCCATCTAAAGCTATTGAACCTTACAATGAAAAAAAGATCATTGTAAACATTTTACACAACAAGTAATTGAAATTTACCAATAAAAATATTTTCTGTCGTTTATTTTTCGAAAACTAATTCCATTTTTAGTACTTTGTACAGAAAGTAATTTTTTCATGAGAGCAGCCATATTGAATTAGCGCAAAGCTCGACAACGAACTAGCTAGCAATCCGAGCTTACCAATTTCGCTAAACATGACGTCACATAGCTCTAAAGTAAACGCCAATGAGTGTGGCACACGGACGAAAGTGTACAGGCTGAGCATGCTGATAGTAAAATTAGCTCAGAAGTAAACGCACCCTTAAAGTACATTGATAAAAAGAAAGACAAAATCGAAATTTCCCACTGATCTATGTACGATTAATTTAATTGATTAATTTATAATTAAGATAAACAACCATTATATTATTGAATAATTTATTTTTAATTAAAATTAGTAATAAATTCAAATAGATTTATATTATTGAACAAATATGTATTTCATAAAAAATTCATTAAAGTTATAAAATAATAATATACAGTAATAACTTTGCTTGACTTTTATTAAACTAAATTTAATTTATTTCGTTTATTCTTCTTACATTTATAATTTGACTTCATAAATAATAGGTAACAGTTAACTAAATAATACAATGCTAAATAATTTTAAAATAACTTGCAAATAGCTAAATATTTATATTTATAAATTAAATTCTATTTATACTAATGAGTACTATGAATTGTAGCAATAATAGTTATAAATTTTAAATATTCTTCCACATGTTTTCAATGTTTTTTTCTTTTTCTTTTCGCTTGCAGATACTAAAAGGACCCTAAGAAAGCCTTTTACAATGAACAACCTTGATAGACATGTTTGTACTGTACTAAGCTATCACAGTGCCACAGTATTTGGAAGGTTGAATAATGAAGAGCAGACATATTTGAGCCACTCTACACGAACATTTCAAACTTAACTTGAATCCTAGCCCTCAGAACAGTAGGTGGTCTACTGTGTGTCTCGATTATTTACAATTCTTTATATTAACGGTATTTTAGTCGAGACGGTTAAGGAATTAACTTACTGCTCTGGAGGACCCGAAATAGAATCCAAGCAAGCAAGATAAGGAATTTTTTATGAGATGTCTGTTCGAAATATGTAAGGCCCGTCACTCAATAATGCAGCCGAACCCATTGTGGGCCTGGCCGAATTTATGATGAGTATGATTAAAAAGCTTTCTAAGTGTTCACAGAACGGAAAGAATAAAAATATTTATATTTCACTAATTGTGAATTTATAAATTATAATTCGGTGTTTAACATTTTTAAAATAACACAGTGAATAATCAAAATGTGTAACAAAATTTACAATGATAAGTAAGCAAAAATGATGAGCAAATATTCTTAACATGACATTTTATTCAATGCAATTCAGTAAGACATTACTGATTATTAAGTATTTGTCTGTTTGATTCACTAATATATTAGGAAAATAAAACTGGGTGTGGTTTGAACTTTCAATTTAATCATTGCAACTAAAGTAATAAATTCTCATCTATCTGAATCTAGTTTTAATTATTGCAGATAATTTCATAGTATTTCATGATTCGTAGTTCTAAAAATATGTTCTTCTAATCACATAATTCTTGAATTGATTAATATATATATTAAATAAGAAAAGTTTGAACTTTATATCCATTTTTTCTTTCTTTTAGAATATAGCAATGTATATCATAAAGTAAAATATAAAACGATTAAGAAAAGTGTAAATCTCTCAAACGTTATTGTAAGGTATCAATTTTTAAATGTATTTTCACAATAATTTTTTAGACAACTGCACTCACTCATGTCCGACGAGAGTAGTTCCTGTCATTTCAATTTGTGGACATTGAAGAAACAAGGAAACAAGCAGTCCAAACACACCAATAAAATCGATAAAAACCATGTAAGCTGTCAGATAACGAAGTTCCGGACTCACTTTATCAATAACTATCCGTCTGCACAGGATACCATTGCTACAGCAACAAGTGATGCCATCCTGAAAATAAGAAAAAAGAATTTTATTTTTTCATTACAGACTATCAAAAATGTTTTTAAAAGTAACTTTTTACAAATTTTTAAATAAATTACAGATTAATTACTATCGACTGTTTAAATATTTTTGAGTTTCCTATTAATTTTCAAAATGACACTTAATTGACGTGCTTAAAAGATTTGATAAGATGTAAAGTTTTTTCCTTATTATAATAGTATGTACATTTATTTGTTTAAATAATAAGGTTAAGAGATGTAATACTGATATATTGCAAGTAAAAATGATTTTTGATAGTCTTTATATTACAGGTAAAAGGAAAGAAGTGGCTTTTTGAGACCTCTGCTATATACTAATTTAGGAATAAAACTTCCTATTTCACAAACGACTACAGTGCCAAATTTTTCAGGTAGATTAAATATATAGGCTTATATATAGTATATAATAATTTTTAAAAATTTCTGGAAAATAAATGAAACATTCAAATAAAAAATAAAAATAAATTAAAAAGCAAGATAACATTAATGTTTTAATATCTTTAATTATTTTCATATAGAGTTTTAATTCTTCTTTTATGTCTAGACTGAAACAGAATATTTGGGATTCATTGAATAATATTAATAATCTACGTTGAATATAAGAGTTAATTTAACACTTGTGCATAGAAATTTAATCATTGAATTCTTATTCAGTTTGGATAATTTCGAATTTGAGACAAAGTAAATAAAAATAATAAACTTTAAATTAATTCAATAAATATATTTAATATTTTATGAAGTTCATATTCCTTTATAAATTATACAAATATTTATCTTTAACTAGTTGAATAATTTGCAATATTTAATTGGTAATTAAATATTTAAATTATCAATTATGAGATTAAAAACAAATTAAACTGAAATAATGAAAAAAAATCTTTTATTCCTTTTAAGTAATTAATTTAATATTTCTGTTTTCTCGCATGGAAATAGCGATAATTTCTAATATTATGGAATTGATTTCAGCCAACTGTAATTCTTCATAACGGCTGATTGTTTTTTTAAAAAGTCAGTTCTTTAAATATCTCCTTTATATTTAATTCATAAATAATGTTAATGTATTTTTTTACAAAAGATGAGTACTCTAAAAACATAGTTTTTATTCTAATTTGTTAGAAAGCTTCTTTGGGATGAATTTAATATGAAGTAAGGTAAACGCACCGGTAGTGGACACTGCGTTAGTAGTGGACACTTTGAACTTCAAATATGAGTAATAAGGTTGTTGATGGCTTCACTGTTCAAACATACAAATCATTCAGTAGACAGAACCCTCTAGTGGTGGTAACTCGCACTGATCCTTTTCTAGTGCATCATGGGATGTTTTCCCGCGCTCATTAGTGATGGCATTCCTGCTGATATAAGAAGACAAGTGAGTCTGCTGTCTGTTTCCTTAAGGTCTAGGTAATTTAAATCACGCTTGCTGTATTAACAGTTAGTTTCACGGAAGTTTTTTGGTGATATACTATTAATATGAGCTTCGTTGGTATGTTTTAAGACCTTCCTGATAGTATTTTTATTTTCCAAGTCAATTGAATGAGATGTCCACTAATGAAACAAAAATATCGTATATTTTTAGTAGTGGACAAGAGGTGGCCACAACTAGTGAAAATGAACTTTTCACTTTTAATCAGTATCAAGTCAAAAATTAAATCACCTAATGTTAAGTAACATACAGTATTGATTCAAGCATTTTTTGGTTACTCTGTCTAGTCATGGACAGGGGGTGNAATTAAAATGTATTCGACGAGACTGACATAATTAAAATCCTTACAGTGAGTGAAGAAAAATTTTGTCTAACAGACAATATAACTTTTAAGCCATAAGGCTTCCAAATAGGGGTCCAGTTTCAAAAAAGTCGAAAAATTTTCCTTAAAGTGTCCACTACTGGTGCGTTTACCTTAATTGAGTTTTTTCAGGTGTTTTTTTAAATTTTTCTTTTGAATTTGAACAGCGTTTTCAGTTAATTTAACGAAAATAATTAACGTGTTTAAGTTTTATTAAAAATACTGGTTAATAATAGTTGGCTCTTATTTAACTGTACAGTAAAAAAAAAAAAAATTAATTTATCTCTGTCACTCATATAAACTTTGTTTGTAGAACTATATATATATTTAAAATATTGTATCTAGGCCTATATTAAGTATACTATCTAGCAACATATGTTCGAGATCATTTTCAAGAGAGATAACGTGGAAAGATGTAAATTTTATAAACAAAGATTACATAATGGAATTACATTATAATGATAATTGTTAATTATTTTAATCACTTACACATTTTATGCTTTAATTTAACACGGATAAAAATTAAAGATAAGTTTAAATTATGTTACTTCCTCAGTAATGAATATATAAAAGTTGACAACGAATTTTCCACTCCATATCTACTTTTCAGCTTTATAAGATTTATTATAAGACTCTGGCAACATGCTTAGTATAATATGCCCTAGTATATGGTAAGGTTAAGACCTTACCATTATATTATACGAGGGGTCTTCACCTCATTCCCTATATAGATTATTCATAAGAAAAATTTCGTGACGATTCATCGATTCCCTGAGCCTCCATTTCTACTTTTTGTTTTCTTTTTCATGACGGAAAAACGTGTCGTGACGATTTTAAACTATACAAATGCTGTGTATTAGAGTAGAATAGTTTTAATTTACTGAAACTAAATCTCGCAAAAACGTGACTAAAACAATGTTACTGTAAAGTAGATAATAAATTTTATATAAAGCTATTCCTATAATTTTGTATTTTTTTATAATTATTCATTTTTCAAGAATTGCGCTTTATTTATAAATGAATCGATAAAAATAATTGGTAATTTATCTTTGTATAAGATAAAATATTCGTATAACGTTATTGATTGGTACAGTGCATAATTGTTTAATAATTATATTTGTCTAAAATTTTTCTTTTTATAAATAAAATGATAATTAATAATTTTCGTTACCTGGTAATGATTTACATAATTAAAACACGCGTTTATATTATTACCACTTTTAATAATATTTTAGCGTTAATACCTGAAAAATGGCTTCAGATGGCATCTATTCACTGATGTTGCTCATAATATTTAAATGAGAATTTTTAAAAATTATTTTATAATAATCATTAAAAAATTAATTTTTTAAAATTTATTTTTAATAAATGAAATTTCTACGTAATGGATCTAAAACATAGTTGTTTCAGATGAAAACATTCATTCAGATTAAAATATTCAACAATTGAATGTTTTAATCTGAATATTTAAAAAGAAGAAAGCATTCTATTCTGACGAAACTTTTAATATTTATTTCTAATATTAAGACAGAATTATTAAAAAAAAAACGAATATTTAGTCTAAAACATGTAGACGAGCAGTTACTAATTGTTTTTGATTTTGATTAATTATTAATTAGATTTTATTTGAAATTAAAATATACTCTAAATATATAATGGGTCTACTTATAAAATAAAGCTTATGATTTAGTTTCTATCTTTAATTTTATTAAAGACAAAACGAAATGATAAGTCTAATTTTGAAACAAACTATTGTAAACACTAATATAGTAAATAAATTAAATTAAAATATTTAAAAATAAAAATTTAAAGAATGCAGGTTAATTTATAATGACTTTCTTGTCATCGTTGAAAATCGATATTCTAAGAATTACACGATGTGAAAATGGTGTCACTATCAATCAATAGCCTATACTGTATCTATGAGTAGTTATCAATCTAGACCAGGGGTGCATGACAGTCTCAGGCTGTATGCGACAAGTTAAATAGTTTAATGTAGTCAGCCACCTAATACTGGTAAAAAACACTTTTATGGCAGTAAGCCTACCCAAATATTCATAAATGAATTAGTGTTATTTTAAATCCAAATAATACATTTCAGTATCATATAGTTTTGTGTTGGATTTACGCAAAAGTATTTCTTTAATTTAACATCCGTACGAGTACAGTAAAGTGATTATATTACAGCCTATTTAAAAACAATTTAATCTAATGCGGCACGTCAATTGTGCATCCCCTATCTAGGCCAACGAATTCATTACCGAAAATAAGTAATCAAAATGCTAAACAGACCAAGTTTGGATTTATGTTATCTGCGATCGAAAATATCAATTAATTTCGTCATTTAAAGTTTACTTAAAGTTTAAAGTTAGCAGTACAGTGAAGAATTACGTAAAATATAAACTCTATGTCTAAAATACAATAAGGGATATCAGCGGTGGATTGTATTATGTCTCTACGATTGGGGCTCTCTCTATATAATTTCACTACATCATAAACTAATGACGTCTAATTGTAACTATAAAATTATATATAAATTATCATAAAGCAATTTTACCGCTACAATTGTACATTTTTTTACACTTTCGAAGCTCCTGATATTCGGGGTCTAAATATGAACTTCACGTGCCTAGTGGGTAATTCGGCACTGATGGATATAGCATATCTTACGGCCCGACATGGTTAATAGATAAATACACTTAATGGATAAGTTCGGATCAGATATCAAGTATAGAAATTAATGAAGTAATTTCATCTTAATTTGTTTTTCTCAATATCGTGTAACATGTGGTTGTCTAGCTCTTTTAGATTATCGTGAACATTTAGAAAAATTTATTTCTAACGTATGTACAGCACATAGCCGTGTACAAACGTATTTTATTTCTGTACTTGGAGGAATATCTAAGTTCATTCAGATTTTCGATATACGTTTTTAAGACGTTATCTTAAGACGTTGTTTATAACGTAATAACAAATTTGTATAAACAGGTCAAATTGTAGGTGTTGAACTGTTATTTATGTACAAAATCGACCAGTTTATTAACTCAAAATTGTTTTCGTCATGAACTTATTATTCGAAAAGAGATGATTACAAAACACAGTATTTCCTCGATTCAAATATATCGTGACATATCGTCATACTATACATATAACATATCGACAAATGGGTAAGAAAAGTAATGCCTTGAAATTTCACAACGATTAAATAAATCCTTGAACAGACATTTATATAATCACAAATCTATCATTTTAGAAATTATTTTTGTTAATTGATAAAATTATTTAGTAATAAAAATATATAAAAGAAGTATATTATAAGGAATAAATGTTTGGCCTCTTTGTGCTCTCTGAGCGGTAAGGGGCCTAAAACCACAAAAAAAAAAAAAAAAAAAAAAAAAAAAAAAAAAAAAAAAAAAAAAAAAAAAAAAAAAAAAAAAAAAAAAAAAAAAAAAAAAAAAAAAAAAAAAAAAAAAAAAAAAAAAAAAAAAAAAAAAAAAAAAAAAAAAAAAAAAAAAAAAAAAAAAAAAAAAAAAAAAAAAAAAAAAAAAAAAAAAAAAAAAAAAAAAAAAAAAAAAAAAAAAAAAAAAAAAAAAAAAAAAAAAAAAAAAAAAAAANATAATTTAATAAATTTTAAAATTGTTTATATTAATTTGCACACGTTAAATGACAAAATGCCATATCAATATTTTATACATCAATCATCGATACAGATAATTAGCAAAAATATGGTGTTGTAAAATAAAGTGCTTAATAAATTACTTTTCATTGTATAAATACAGTATATAATTTAATCAATAAAAACGTGAAAAAATGTTGAATTATCACTTAAAAAAGTAATTTAAATAATAAATGTAACCAAAAATTACTTTAAATTGCCGTCATTCAATAATTATGAAATATTTAAATTATAAAACGCTTTAAAAACAAGTTAGATAAGATAAAATTATTTTTTATTAAATAATAATAAACAAAACAGAATGTTTATAATTATTTTATGTATTTTTGCGCAGTTATAAAATTAATTATAAAAGAACTAATTTATTTAAATAATTCATACATAATTTAAGAAGTTTTTTAAAATATAATAAAAAATACATTGAATAATTAATTATGTTATATAAAACTACATAAATGTAAAATTTTTATTTGTAGCATTAAGCGACATAACTAAACTATTAAAAATGACGTTATAATTAAGATTTTTATAGTTTTTTAAACTTTTATTATAAACATTTTTTTAATAAATGAATTTCCTTAATTAAGTGCATTTTTTAAAGAGTTCGAGAATAATTTAAGAGTTAATTTCTGTAATATTTTCATATATATAACACAAAAGTTACAAATAAAAAGAAAATTATATTTAAAATGTAAATTTTTAATTTACATTTTAAACAAACAAGTTTTATTTAAACTTTTTATTTAAATTTAATCAAAGTAAAATTTCTCAAGTTCCATTGAAAGTCTATTGGTAATTACACAAGAGAAGGTAATGTTATAATTTTCTCCACCATCCTCATTCTCTAGAATAGTATAAAACAATTCATTAAATGTATTAAAATAATTGCTTCAGAAGTTTAAATTACCTTTGTAAAAGTTAAATTCATAACAATTATAATATCGTAGAAGAACTATAAGCAGAATTCTAGCAGATAATGTAGAGCCAATACTGGAATATAAATGTAAATTGTAGAAGAGTTAATTATATTCCAGTATTAATTCTACTACAATTTACATTAGATAAGTATATTTTATATTTAAATTGATTATAATAAAAGTCATTATTATCATAATTAATATTTAATATATATTTCATTACTTTTATTTTCTGATTTTTAATTTCAATAATTCTATTATTGAGGTTAGTAATTTAAGTATTTATATCATTAATGAAGTCTTTAAATTTTGTATATAACGTTTTTTTTCAATCGGAGATATATTTCATGAAGTTGAGTTGGTTCTGCATAATTAAATTTTTTATTTCTGTGATTGATAGTAGTGAGAATAAGTCTAAATTAGAACAGCTACTCAATGAATCAATTCAGATTGTGTTGAATAATGTGAGTAAGAATCGCATTTTAAAATGATAAATGCTTCTTTACACAGCCAAAAAATATATATTTTCTTGGACTGTCACTAAAAAATTTAATATATTCATTAACTTTTTCGTTGATGAAATAAATTTTGTATTCTACAATTTAATACATTAAAACTTTTATTTAAAAACACTGTAAGCAAGTAAATTAAATAAATATTTTTAAAATACGAAGTAAATTTTAGATAAAATTATAAAAACTGTTTCAAGTAAACACCAAAAATGATCTAAATAATTCATTTTAACATAATCTATGCCTCAATTGCCTTATTTGTTTGCCTTTCCATGGAAGATATAAAAGGTGATAAGAGCTGATAACGACACGAAACTGTTAGGCTATATGTAAAGGTTGTTTCTATGGTAAACAGAAAGGCAATGAATAAAATTAAAGCACATGTTAATTATTATTTATAATTATATATCTTGGAATAATCTGGTTTATTGTGTATTCAGAAGTAGTTTAAATGACAAATGAAACAATTTAAAGAAGCATGTGTAAGAGTTTAATGTGAAAAGTTCAAATGTTTTTAATTCAAATGTATGGGCGAGGTGGGAATAAGATAAAAATTCCATGGAGAAAAACGACATAATAGATTTAAACATTTTGGAAAGAACTTAAAAAAATCTATCAAGAATATTTGCAAAAGGAAAATGTCTTTAAAAAATTTAAATTAAATTCTAAAACTTTATTTCAATATAATTGTGTTAAATATTATAAATAGTCATTAATTTGTTGTTTAAATTTTTTATATCGACCATTTAATTAAACTTTAAACATAACATTTAAAGCAGATAAAAATAGCGTTGAAAGATTTTATAATAATCGATTTTAGAATAATAAAATTCAAAATTGTAAATAATTTTTTTTAATATTTATAATCAATTAAATTGTATATATATATAAACATAATGTAAATATTTTATAACGTGAAATCTAATTCAAAGAAAACATTTAAATAAACTAGATATAAATGTAGTGCCATGAAAACGTTAATAAAATATAAAATCGCTCGATAATATTTAATATTATACTAATTTATTGTTAAAGTTTAATTTCATAAAACAAAGGGATAATTAATTTTTAATTAGAGACATTTTAAAAATTAACCTACATTAATTTGTTTGTTGCAAAGCTAAAGCAACAAATCTATTTATTTATCACATTAATATCAGCATTTTAACAAACCTATCTATGTACTGTTTTAAATTTTACATAAGTAAGATTTAAAACAGTACATTAAATATTCTAAGATTGTATTAATATTTTTCCTTCTAAGTTTGCCTTGTACTAGTTACGAGAAACGAATAGATATTGAAATCTGTGTTGTCATGTTAGTAAATATGTTATTTTTAATTTGCAATAAGTTTATCTGACAAAAGTGCATCTAATAATTCTCTTTTCATTTGATAAAATTAAATCCTCAAACGACTTTAATATTACATTTTCGTTTTGAATAATTTTAACATTTATAGAAAATATGGAGATTCCTTATCTGATTGCGGCAATTCATCTCTTCAAAATATATGTATGGAGATACATGTAAATATTTTAAAATTTTTAGTATCTTTTTTGAGATATTCGATTTTGTTTCTTACGTTTAAATCGATCGGTGCTCAGTATTCTACACTTGTTCGATATTGTTGAACTTTGCACTACTGTTATAGTTTACAAATTCAATATTTCTCCTATTTTTTATAACTTAAATGTAATTTTCTGCATACATAGTATGTATATCATCTTCATTCATACAATTCTTTATACTTTTAAACTCTTTAAACTTAGCATTTACTAATTTTTATAACGAAAAAAGAGCATTAATGTCACTTCTAAGATAAATTTACGCTTAAAATATCAACATATGTCGCTATAAATCATTCATGTTTTGTGCTATTCCCGTAATTATAATCAGTTATAATCTCAGTCAGAATCAGTTCCAATCTATTTTTAATATTCTTGAAAATAAATGATCTAAAAGTTCTATTATTTTCATATAAATATTTTTCAGATTCAAAAAATAAAATAAAAATAAATAATAAACTTTTATCAATTAGTTTTTATTTTTAAATATTCTACTTAAATTCTACCGTGAAATAATCATTCGTTATAAGAATTAAATCATTCATCGTAGTATGCAACTTACATAAATATAAAATCAATATATTTATAAGTGGAACCTATATAATAAATCTTCTCGACATATTTAATAAAGGAATTGTGCAACTTTTATATTTATCATTTCTTTATTTAGCTTGAAATTCCATTTATCTGACTAAAAGTAATGAAATCGGTTATTTAAACAAAGAATTACAATGTTAGAAACCATCTCCACAAGAAAAATAATCGGTGTAAATAACACCAAAATTTATTTAAGTAACATTTTCGAGTCTTATTATAATTTTCTCCATAAAATATATGATCAAATCTTTTGCCAATCGTTTATCAATGTGAAAGATGTTGAAAATTGAGTAAGAAATTAGATTTTGCATTATCTAGAGCCATTCAAAATGAACTAATGGCAGTCATTTGCCTTCTCACTTTATTATTGA